ATCTTAATTTGGATAGAAATTGGTAATCTTTTATCTTGTCGATTACAACTGGATCAATATTCTTTGTTTGATACTCATCATCAAATCGAAATGCATCCTTATGAGTTTGCACAAGATTTGAATTCAGTTTATTTTTCGTGTTGTGTGGATCTTTAGAAGCTTGCGCTTCCTGGCATCTTTTGTGCCCTGCATTGCTGTGAAAGGAGACTGCAAGAAGCAGCCAGCTATTGAATAGAGGGAGAGCTTGAGATTTGAAACAACTATTGTACTACCCTAATTGTAACTTCTTTCTCTCTTCACTTGCTCTCTTAAAGACTCTCTCATGCTCCTTTTAAAATGTAACCTACATTATTCTAGTAAAAACCGCAGAAACTACTAAGCATGGACGTAGGCCAGCTTGCACATATGGAAGGATCGTATAGTGCTATGAACTTATACTGTCCTTAATGAAAGATAGAAATTCTGGATGCTTTATTGGGATCAGTCTGTAATATCAGCTCCAGTGTATAAGGTGTGCTTTTCTCCTTCTCTTTTACATTGAACAATCTAAGCACATACGTATTTTTTTCATTTTTCAGGTTTTCTCCATTCCATATTCACCATGAACGTTTTACTCATTATGCCATGATGATAACAATGTCGTAAGATCATTTGTGTTGCAAAACAAGGTTTGCTCTGTTACTTGTAAGATAGTAAATTAGTTTACATGGAATGCCCATACGATGTCGGTGTAGGTCCATACTGGGTACTTTGGGTCTCTTCCATGATGGTGTTTACTCACTCACCACTGTCTCAACTCCTTAGTATTTTACAGAGAGTTCTTGGGGCTGTGAAGGTAACAATGTCTTCAGGTAACAATGTCTTCGGTAGAATATTGATATTCCGGTTGAAGCACAAGTTAGCTCTTCTCAAGCAGACTAAGTTTTCATCGGTGAATTATTACAAGGGCTTTCTTCTGCGTTGATCGTTTCTCTCTTGAGATTCAAAGTTTGTTTGAGCTGAGGTCATTGTTTCTCGCTCTTTCATTTTCATTTTTTATTAATATTTTTGCAACAATTACTTTAAGAGGTCGCACTTGGTGCGATGGCAAGTGCCTTCGCCCATGAGCGGTAGGTCTCGGGTTCGAGACTTGGGAGCAGCCTCTCCATAAAATGGGGGTAAGGCTAGCCGACATTCACCTCTCCCAGACCCTGCGTAAAGTGGGAGCCTTGTGCACTGGGTACGACCTTTTTATTAATATTTTTGCAACAATATTTCTCCATAATAGCAATGCTGGAATAGATATTATATTGTTGTTTGATTAAAAAAAAAAGATGGTTTATCTTCTTATGACATCTAATACTCGTAAATTGCAGTTTTGATGGGGCATGGAAGGAACAGGAAGATAGAGGGGGAATTGGAGTGGTGTTAAGAAACGACATAGGTTAGTTTGTGGCAGCGCTGGCGATGAAACTGGACGGCATCTCTTCACCGTTGTTGGCAGAAATAGAGGCAGCACGTGCTGCAATCTTGCTGGTGTGAGAGTTAAACAAGGAACTGGTGGAACTTGAAGGAGATGCAGCGTTGGTCCTTGCTGTGCTAAATCTAAGATGACATTGTCGTTGATGGATAGTATAGTAAATGAGGAGCGCTACTTCCTGCGCTCCACTCCACAAACCAAACTCAAGCATGCTCGCAGGGAGACAAACAAGGTTGCTCACAGATTGGCGCAATTGGGACTCACTCTAGAACAGCGATGAGTTTGGTTCGAGGAATCTCTTGATGTAATCACTGGCCTTATAATAGAGGATAGTTAAGTTTTATATTTTTGTGGTGCGGGACGCTCTTTTTCCCTTCGACTGGGTTGAAATTCCCGGCAAGGTTTTTATCAAGGCCCAATAAAATGCATTATATCCTACTATCTGTACGTATTCTTTCTCATATCAATGAATATTGTACCTCTTCTAAAAAAAATACTCGTAAATTGTCCATGCATGTTTTAGCCGCAGATAGAAAAGTGTGGCCCTTAAATTGTTAAAAGGCCACAAAAGAAAGGAATTTTTCAAAAAACGTTTAGCTTCCTTCTACGCTTGGCCTTGCAAAAAACATTCCTCCGAAAAGTCAATTTATCACAAAATGTTTTAAGTGCACAACTTAGCTGAAATTGAGAAAGGCAAAGTAAAAAGGCTCTTTTAAAATTAATTCTTTAACAAAACTTAGGAATAATTGGCATGAAAATATAGGAAATAATTCACCTACCAATGTTTATAATAAAAGTAGACAAAGACGAATATGAGGACGAATAAGTTTCTTTACTTAAAACAATAATTCCTCGATTTTCTTCCTTCAAGTTATATGCATTTATTTTGTTTCATTCTCTATCATCATAACTTTAAATATAGTGAGTTGTCTATTTCAATCTGTCATAGAGGGAGACCAAATAAGATAAATAAATATGTGTAGTATAGTACAAGATAATTGGATAACATTGTGTGACGGTGTGAAAATATCTGACGTTAGAAGATTGAGGCAGAAATAAGAGTTGAATTTTGTTTTGCAAGAAAAAAGATAAAAGCTATAAAGAAAGGAAGCATGATCACATTTTGGCTTCATAAACACTGTTTTAACAATTTTTGACAAAAATTGTTGTCCCTGACCAATCGATATTCAGATATATTAAGGCCTCGTTTGACAGCTCGGATTGTACTGACTATTTCTATCGGATAGGATAAATAGCCACCGGATAGTACTGACTAAATTAGTCGGGCGTTTGGTGCAGTATCGGACTAATGATCGTATTATTTATATTGTGTTTGGTACTATACCAGATATGAGGAATTTAAAGTATTATTATTTTAAGATAAACTGTAGAGATCAGTTTTAACCATAAAGTATTATCATGTCTCCCTGGGTGGTCCATTCTTAGCGGCCACAGCAGATGCTTTCTCTGATTCTATGTCAACAACAATAGCATCAATTTTAGCTTCTTCAAGTTGCTTCAGACCATGATCCTTGTCATCACAGCAACTTCTATGTGTTTTCCTCCACTCTCGACAACCTCAAGCAAAGCCCGGATTGCAAGCTTTACAGTTTCTTGCCCAGATCTCTCTGCCGCATCCCCCAAACTCCCTCTCTCTCTCTCCTTTCTTCTTCTTCCCCGACTATTTGCAAGATCCAGTTGTAGAAGAAGCCCAAAGCCTTCAACGCCCGACGGCCAGACCTCGGGGATCTTGTAGCAGAGGAAGACATGGAGGTCGTAGGCGTTGACAGTGCCGGCAAGAATGACGACGGGGAGAACGACGTTGGCGAGAGGGATGACAGCGAGAGGAGATGTCGTGGAAACGAAGTGCGAGAGAGAGGGAAGTGAGCCGGACTAATAATCCACTCATTTTGGAAGGGTTTATTAAGCAGGTGTATACCCGACTAAATAGGCAGACTGACTAAATTAATCCGGCGGCTATTTTATACGGGAGGGCACCAAACAACCGGCTCCGTATAATTAGTCCTATCCGATGCTCTATACGGTGTGCCAAACAAGGCCTAAGTGTGATTTCAAATGATTATATACCCCAGATGGCCAACACCTAAACCTTCATCCAAGATATGTCTTATGCATTCAAACATTAAATGGTGTGCCACGTGGGGCCACCCTCTGAGTTTGTCCCCGGCCCACTCTTCTCCCTTTCTCTTTCTTCTTTCTTCTCCCGTGAGACCTCTCCCTTGTCTCTCACTCTCGAACAAACCTCTCTCCCTCTTCCTCTCGCTGCACCCAACCCTCCCCGAGGGTAGCTAACACATCCACACAGGGGCGGATCTACAGAGGGACCTGGGAGGTCCCAGGACCCTTCGACGATCCTAAATTGCTGCTTGAAATTTTCCGGGGACCCCTCGTACTCGAACACGAGGTCTGCGCTGCAGGTTGCAGGTTGCAGGTGCAATGGAGAAGAAGACAGCGGGGAAGAAGAAAGAAAACAAGGCCTTTTTAAAATTGGTCCAAAACGCTGCCGTTTGTTTTAACAATTGGCCAATTGTTTTAATTTTTCAAAAAAAAAAAAATCAAAAGGGGCAAACGCTGCCGTTTGCCTATTATGTTCCAATTTCCATATTCTTTTAAAGCCTAGCCCCACATGGGCCACATCTTTCCCGAGAGTTCCCTTTCCTTTCCCCGCTCCTCTGCTTTTCCCCTAATCCCCAACTTTTTTATATTCCCCTAAAACCCTAAATTTCTAATCCCACCCAATCCCATATTATAATTATATTACTCCAATATCATACCTTCACTTGTTTCAATTCTCCAAGCCATCACTATTTGGTTCAAAATTCAAATAAGTTTTTTGGTATTCTAATCTAATCTCAATTAAATTATATTAGATATTGGTGGAGATTTTTAGTCTATTATTGATATGATTGTTCATATGTTTTATGTTTGTATACTCATTTTATCATTGAAATTTGGATGGAATTCTTGCTCAGATGTATCCTAAAGATTTGACGGATCGAGATAGATTGGGAATTCAAGATTAACTTGATATTTATATTCATTTTGTGCGTTCTGATAATGATTTTTCTCAATTGCAGGGGATTAATGATCTTACTAAGAAAATGGTGGAGAAAGGGTTGCATCGAACATTTGCATATGTATATTTGCTTGTTCAGTTGGTTTTGGTTTTACCAAGTGTAACCGCTTCAGTGGAAATGGCATTTTCCGCTATGAATATCATTAAGGATCCACTTTGCAACAAAATGGGAGATCAATGTTTATGTGACATCTTAATTGTTTACATTGAGAAAGATGTTTTTTCATGTATTGGTAATGAAGTTATCATGAAACATTTTCAGACTATGAAACCTCGTCTTGGACGCTTGAATTTAGGATTTTATAACTTGTAATGTTGTTGCATATAATTTTTGAATGAAGTGTATTATATTTAACTTTTCAATGTTATTTTTGTCTATAAATTTTTTGACCTTTATTATTAGGACCCCCTGAATTTAAAATCCTGGATCCGCCACTGCATCCACACACCCATGCAACCACCGACATGGCGACAACGACGGCAGCACCAACATCACCACCACATTAGCTCTCTCTCTCTCTCTCTCTCTCTCTCTCTCTTCGTCTCTGTTGAGCACAGAGGAACTCCGGCGAGTTCGTCGTCTTTCCGACGATTGGTAAGCCTCGGGACCCTTGAAATCCCTTCATCTTTGTCCTTGTGGTCTATAACTAACTTGGATTGTGTTTTTGGGATGACGAAATTGCACGGAGACGCCACGGGTGTGCTAAACCCAGTTTTCCGGTGAGCCGTGGGTGTGCGACCCAAGTCCGGCCACGTCCGGCCCAGTATTTTACAGATTCTTGGGGCTGTGAAGGTAATACTGTTGAATATTTCAAGAATATATATATATATATACCATTTATTATATATATATATATATGTATATAATATTTCATGAATATATATGAAATATATATATATATATATATATATATATATATATATATATATAATAAATGGTATATATATATATATTCTTGAAATATTCAACAAATACTGTCTCCATTGAGCCACTTTCTTATGCCATTATAAAGGATTAACATTTTTATCATTGAGAATTAATCGTGTTTTTAATCAATTGTGCATTTCAGATATGAAGGAAGTAGTCTATGTTATTTTAAGCAGAAAATTCAAGCTGCAAACAAGTTACTTACTCCTACAAACACATGTGCATTCTCTACCCCAACTTTCTAGGATAAAAAATTACGTCTTTCATTTTTCCGCAGTTGTGTTGTGGCCGAGGACATCGGCATAGACCTTGCAGCAGACAAAGTTGATGGAATGAAGTGTATCGTAACCAAAAGCGGGTAACTTACTTTCCTATATGAACAAAAGAGTGCTTCCATATATGCCACCTTCTTGATATCTCAGATCAGTGGCGGAGGCAGTTAAGGACTACAGTAGTCCTAGGCCTACTCTCACTTAAAAAATAAGATTAGTCTACTACACCTATTTCTATTGCTTTGCAGCCCTTCTCAACAACTAAAACAAATTCAATCATTATCTATTTTTCATCTCATAGATGCCATCCCAAAAATAAGTATATATTTTAAATGGTCATTTATCACAAAAAGTAGTGCTATCTGCATACATTTTTTACCTTTAACACACTCTTGTTAATTTATGTCATTCGATATTCAATTCATTCAATCAGACGATCGCAAATTGAGAGGGTATATGGAAAGCAAAAAGAGGTGTGTGGATAGCACAACCCTCTCACAAATCAATAACATTAAATTAAAACCCATCATTCACTTTTAATTAAAATAAAATCGTCTTTCACTTATTCACGGCGAGAGTTTTTACCTTTTCTTATTGAATTTCATATATTTAGCCATTCTAAATCCCAAATTTATTGAATAAAGAACAAAAAGGTTTGTAATACTCTATTATTCACTATAAAACATTTGTTTCTATTCTATCCCACCTCTTACTTGAGTTTTAGGGTTTGCAAAGATTTTCGTACTTCTCTCTATTCAGTTTAATAATTATTTAAATACAATAGATGACATTATGCAACTGTTTCATTGCAATTTGTCAAGAATAATTTTGATTACTATGGATAGATAAAATTATCTATGCATATGTTAATTTTGACTACTTAATTATTTGGATAAATATTATGATGTTTTGCATTAGTAATTTTATAACCACTATTCGTTTTTTATTCTTCTATACTTGTTTGAGGCCCCTCCTCACAAGAAATCTTGGCTCCGCCACTGTCTCAGATTATACTTCAAATTTGTTAAAAAGCTAATTGGCATGAGTTGGGTGTAATCTTTGCTAGTCACATATGTCAAATTTTTTTATCGGGGTCAAATGATAAACATGTTCACTTCATCTCTTAAAACTCCGGTTTCAGGTACACAGCTGAAGAAGACTTCCATAATGCAGATTTAGTCTTTGACTTCATTGGAGATCCCCCGGAGGAGCGAAATTTCATTCAGTGCTGGTCCTCCATCTACAATACCCTTGGATGGTGATTAGGGTTTCAGCTAAAGATAATAGACGAATGATAGTCTGCGTTCGGTGGTAATCCTGATGTAGATATTCCTGTTGAAGTAGTATTTCGGTTGTATACAAGTTTAGAAGAATTATGGTGTTAAGAATGTACATGTTTTATATGGGACGGATCTGTAAATATTGCCAGCATTGGAGACTTTAACATCGTCAAATGGGGTTGGATTTAGCCTTTTGATGTTTGATAAAAAAGACCTCAATATGAATGGCCATAAATTTGAATATGAGTTCTCTTATTTGACTTCACCTGTAGTATTCTGTGTCCGAGTGTAAAGATAGTGAAGCTTTGTGGTGGTCTCAGATCTGTAACCTATGTCAAGAAGCAGGAATGCATGCAGTCTGGAAGAACCGGTATGTCATATTCCCAAGGGACTTCCGAATTATTGCGGTGATGATGTAAGATATCGAGCCATGGAATGGTTTTATTTTATTTTATTTTTTATTTTTTTATTTTATTTTTGAGAAGGGGTTTTATTTTCTTTTTGTCTTTCGGATAATGTGGGTTGTTTTAGTTGGAGAATTGTTTAGGGAAAACTGTAACAAAGTACACTGAAATTGACGTTCCATTCTTACTGTTTGTAGAGATGCCACAGTTTGCAGCGGTTTCGCTATTCATATTTTCGGCACAGATGTTGTGGTATTATCCCTGCCCAATTAAGCATTGCGATGTGTTTATTACTAGTCCGCATGGTAGTGCTCGATTTACTTAGGATATCGACGTAATGACACATCTTAGTTACAGGGAATTTCTCTCAACTTAATGACAGTGGGGATGTGTTAGCAAGACATTTTTAGTCTTCAAGCCTTAAGCCAAAGTATTGCAGTATGGTTTTAAATTTACTTTCTATTATTAGAGAGCAAACATACATGGAATGGAATGGGGTTCTCGCACACGTGGTGGTATCTCATTCAATAATGTAGTGGTGTGTAAGTTTCTTTTGTTGGATATATAAGATATTATCTACATTAAGAGGATTTCCACCTGTTGAGCAAGGGCAGCCCAATGACAGTTATCATTTATTTTGAATTAGTAATTGTCTTTGTCAACTCCACCTGTTTTAGTTCTACCATCACCAACGCGATTACTCTTCACAAATATTTTTTTTTCTTTAAATTCACATCTGCCAATTTATCAAGCGAGGATGTAGAAACTGCTGAAAGAAAAGACTTATCCAACACAATCGAGTCACTGAAGGAGGTGGAGCCACCTCTAAAGTAAGTTTATCCTGTGACTTTTTATTACAGGAATCTACCCCTCTATTATTGATTTGAACAAGAAAAAAAGTGTTGTGCGATCCAACTGTCCTAACAGAGAAAGAAAGGATGAGAACTTAAGTTTAAAAAATGGGGTATAGATAGAAAAAGTACTACTAGGGATTAAATTTAGAATTATTGATTGATATTGACTATATATGCATGACTACGTACTGTTGTTTTCTTATGAAAGCACAATTCCTTGTTCATGATTATTTAATAAAAAATTAAAAAAATGAAGCGTCGACAACGAAAAGATAAGGGCACTACTTACTAAAATACATCAAGAAAAAAAGTTAAAGAAAAAAGCAATTTAGTAAAAGGTAAGATTTGAAAAGAACAAATGAACCAGACACGTATAGATTCCAGCACTCGAAGTGTTAAAAGTACTTTTGAGCACTCAAAGCATCGGAAGGAGATAATTACTTTATAAAAAGTAATTTTATCTGATAGGAATGTACCCCTCAATTATTGAATGCAGCACCATGTTTTTTATGTTGAATTTTATGAAAATTAATGGAAAGTTTTAAAAAAAAAATTCTTTTAATGAAAAATTCTTTTTAAAGGTATAGTGAATAGTGACAGTTAAAAGTAAAATTATAATTTTGTTAAAAATGAACCGTACCATGAATGTTTAGTTAAAACTCCCTAAATTTTATGCAAAACATAATCAATGAATGTTTAGTTAAAACTCCCTAAATTTGATGCAAAACATAATCGGTGTACAAAGAGGAGCCACGTCTAAAGTAAATCTATCCTCTCAATTATTTGTTTCTGATAGGAATAACATCTCATTCAATTATTATGTATATCAATTATTTGGACGATGCACCATCTTTTTCACGTTATAAAAAGTTAAACCTAGCGGCATCATCGTATCATTTTCCATTGCTCTTGAATTGTAACTGTAATTTGCATCGAAGAGAGAAGTTAAACACGCTGAGCTGAGTTGAGTAGGGAATTGAAGGAATGGCAGCTGAAGCTGTGGTTACTTTTGCTGCGGAGGAAATACTGAAGAAGGTGCTTTCACTTGCTGAGAAAGAACTCCGTCTAGCATGGGGTTTCAAAGCTGAACTCCGAAACCTTCAAGAGTCATTCGGTAACATTAAACTTTTATTGAATGATGTTGCCGACAAACCACAAGGTAGTATATATTTTTGAATCTGTCTTATAATCTCGCGCACACATGCTACAATGACTAGGTATTTTAACTTGTTTTCATTCTCTAACAGCTCCTGCAATAGAGGAATGGGTGAAGAAACTCAAAGGCGTAGCCGAGGATGCTGAGGATGTCTTGGATGAATTCAAGTACGAAGTTGATCGGCGTAAAGTCGAAATCCAAAACCATATGAAGAGAAAGATTCTGAATTTCTTTTCACTCTCCAATCCACTTGCATTTCGTCTTCAAATGGCGCGTAAAATTCAGAAGATCAATGCATCCTTGGTGGATCTCAAGACTGAAGCATCTCCTCTTGGACTAGTTTCCACCAGGAATACAGATGCAACCCGTCAGAGAATTACATGGGACAGAAAGCGACTCACTCATTGGCAAAGATGAAATAATTGTTGGAAGGGAAGATGATGTGTCGAATATAGTTAAAACCTTGACCGGCTCCAAATACGACCAAGAGAATCTTGCGGTTATGGCCATTGTGGGAATGGGAGGCCTCGGAAAAACAACTTTGGCCAAGTCGGTTTTCAATGAGGATTTGATACAAAATTCTTTTGAAGTTAGAATATGGATTTGTGTATCGAACCCTTTCGACGTCAATTTAATTCTGCTCCATATGTTAGAACATCTCAATCCCCCACCAGTCCTTTCGAAAGATAATAAGAATGTTCTTCTTGTGTCCCTTAAAGAAAGGTTGGAAAAAAAAAAATTCTTACTTGTACTTGATGATGTTTGGAACGAAGATCAAGAAACATGGGATAGTTTAATGGAATGTTTGTCAAAGCTTAATTTTGCTGGGGGATCCAAAATTATTGTCACTACTCGCAATGACAAAGTAGCATTAATCTCAGAAAAGCTACTTCCACGACATGAATTGGGAGAATTTTCTACGGATGAATGTTGGTCCATCATGAAAGCTAAAGCTTGGCCCATTAGCAGTGCTCCTGAGTTCGAGAAAATTGGAAAAGAGATTGCTAAAAATTGTGGTGGTGTTCCATTGGCGGCAAAGGTACGTACTATTATTATATATCATAACATGCAATTAGCACCATTTTATTTTTACTTTTTCACAAGCTTTATTTGTAAATTAGGACAATACCTTCATTTACCCATGAGGTTCACCACCTTATAAATTAGGACAAGGCCTTATGACAAACGTATTTTGACCATACAAGTTTCTTAACCAAAACCATTCACTTTCATAATCATTAGTAAAAAAATTCATTTCAAATTACATAAATTAACTATATGAAAATAATAAGTTTAGGATTTGAACACAGCCCGTTAGAATGAGATTTTTGTCTAGAAATTAAGGTTTAGTTTATTATAAATAGGATGCTTGTTCTTCACTGATGTATAAGTCAGTCACAATGTAGTCTTTAAGTACAGTCGTCTCGACAATATTTTTTTTTTTCTTTTTTCTGCTAATCAAAATAATATTCGCGGTTTGTAATCTGTTTGTTCGTGTGTTTATTATGCACACTCTATATTCAATTTGGTATCAGAGCAGATTTAATCCTGGTTGGATTTGATCTGGTTTGGCTGGTATCTAGCTCCCTACAGTCTATCTGTGGTTTATCATATCCTGAGCCCACTAGTTTATTTTTTTATTTTTTTTGAAACACTTCTGAGCCCACTAGTTTGATTTGTTAAATTGCTACCTCTCCCACCCCTTCCTCCGATGATTAGGAGAAGTAGCACGAAATATAATTTTGAGTGTTGTTAACTCATATGGATTTCCATTTGTACCTAAACACGCCACTGACTTCTCATTTGTGGCAAGGCTTTTGAGTCTGTCTTCTCCGTTTATTCGTTTGTCTGGGTTTAGATTGTTTGAATTTGTCGTTGGATAAATTATGTTCTTATTCTTCATTTTTCTCTCATTAATTGAAATTTTTTTTCTTATTTTTTTATTAAGATCCTTGACTTTTTTCTATGTCATATTTGAATATTAAATTATTTACAAGTCAGCGTATGCCTTTTAAAAGTGAAAAACTTATTAATTCCCAATATATCTGTTTAGTAATTTTTTCATATATTTTTATTTATTATTCGTATTTTTTTTTTCATTTGTACTAATATTCCTTTTAGTTTTAGTTTGTACACATAATTTTGACTTTTAACATTTACCTATTTTTTTTATTTAATTGGTAACCCTATTTCTTGTGAATGTACCCATACTAATTATAAGGAAAACTAATGAAAATGACTTGAAAACTTTGAGTTTTAATGATAAGGACAAAATAAAGGGTAAAGTGAATAGTACCAGGATTGACTTTTTAGTGTAAAAATGTGGTTTTTCGTTAAAGTGAACAGTACCGGGTGCTTTTCGTTAAAGTTCCCCTAATTATATCTATCTATTTCATGTTTAAAATACATCAATAGTTATTTCTTATAATATATTAATAATTACGTTGGTACATTATTTTTTGGTACAGCTATGTGAAGACCAACATTACTCTATTATGAATTTTTAAGTAATTTTTATATTATAAAAATATTATTTGAATTGGGTTAAATTTTATAAAACCAAAATGACTCTTTATCAAAACTACGTTAATAAAATCTTTTTTGTCAACTAAATTGGACAAAACAACAATTTTATCTTCTGCTACAAAACAAAATCGCAACTAATAAAGTAAATTCACACAAACTAAATTTTACACATTTTTTTTCAAAGCCTCACCTAAAAGTTATCCTAACATCCTCTAATTTTAAAAAATAAAATATAAAAAAGAAGACTTCTCTCTCTAATCCACATTCTTTTTTTCTTCCTTTTCAAATAAAAATAAAACGTTATTTTCACACACAAAATATGGGGCATTTATAATAAAAAATTGTTAACAACGGGAGCCGCTGAAATTTGTTGGAATGCTGAAGCCAGAGCCGTGAGGCGCTGGAGCCGCGTTGCGCTTGCCTCCTGTTGTTGTTGTCTGAAATCGACTCCCACCACCGCATCGAACCACAAACCTGCTGCTGATGCTGCCTGTTCATCTCGCAGTCCGCCTGAACCACCGTCAAGCACAAAATCGCACTCGCCTGACCAGATCTGCTAAACCCATCAACCCGTACCATACCTGCGTCAGACCCACCGCTACACCCACCAGAATCCGCATCGTTGCTGATTGCCTGACCAACCCCACACCTTATTAGAATGAAACCCAGAAATCACTGCCATGGCCGCCATCTGCCTGAGCATCACGCCTACACCACTGCTCAATCGAACCCTGCTGCTTCACTGCTTGCGGCTTGACCGCCTTTGAACCTCTGTGTCCTGTCGAAGTCTGCTTGCTTCGCGCTAGCTACCGTGCCGTCGCCCCACCATCTACTGCGGCATGAGCCCACCTTCAGCCCCGATCTATCACCGTCTTGCCGACTGTCCTCAAACCCACATCGCACTATTGCCGCAAAACCCACTTTGTCTTCTGCCAGTATTGCTGCTGCTATTATTTTTTTGGGTGTGTTTTAACGAAGAAACACTCATGTTCACGTTTATCAAAAACCATATTTTTTCTTTTTCTTCTAATACTATTCATTACATTTTTATCTGTCATTTTTAACGAAAATTAATTTTTTTTTTAACTTTTAGTTAGTTTTTCTTTATTTAAAAAAAAACCAGTATTGCTTCAATTAAGAAAAGGCAAAAAAATCGAGACAGAAAGTTGAAAAAGTATTAATAAGTTGCTTTCCGTTGGGCCACTTTCTTGGATTGGGCCGATAAAATGTTCCCAGTAATGAAGTTGCTGCTGTTTGAACCATTTGTTGCTGATGTCGGGTAGTGCCTGTATGAAATTTATTGTGGTCTGCCACAACGATTGCTCAAGTACTTGAATTAGGGTCACTCAAGTGACGTTGTGTATATGATCATAAATTAGATCGTCTGCTTGTTTGTCTATCCGCGTAGCAGACTTTGCTTGTTTGTCCGACTAACAGATCTTGTATTCACTTCTGTTTGTTGGCAATCTCATGTTGTTTAACACTATGAGTTTGACGAGAGCGTTTGAAAATAATAAGTTAAGGATTTGGGCTGTTAGAATTAGGCTTTTGTTTAGAGATTAGGTTTTAGTTTACTATAATTGGATGCTTGTTATTCACTTATCTATAAGTTGGTCACAATAGAGACTCAACATGTAACCATCTTGGCAATCCAGTTTCTTTGTTTTTCCGTTAATCAAATAATATTCGTAGGTTGTAATCCGTATGTTTGCCTATTTGCTATGTGCTCTCTAATGTTAAACATGGATATTTTAATTGGTACCAACATCATCAATTTGTTCAATAAATATGGATGACTAAACGATCTTCAGTTTGATTGATTTTGATAGCAAACAAACTGTTCCAAGCCCATTGAATTTTAGATATATTATTTGCAAAATGATTGAATTGTGTTCAAATTTGGAAACTTCAAATTGCATAGATTAGTCTTCCAGAGGAGAAGCACGTATATGGAACAGAATCACAACCACGTAGCTTTTCTTATCGAACAATCTATTGCCATGTGCAAGCACATGGCGATGTATTATTGAATTGGGTCACTACTTGGCGGTGAACCTCTCCAGAAGATACCAATCTAGTTATAATCATTAAATTAGTTAAGTGGCTTAAGTCAGTTGCATTAAGTTAATCTAGTTACAAACTCTTCCTTTTTTTTTTCATCTGATAAAAAGAATACGGTGGAGAACATTGTTGCACTTCACATAGATCCAAAAAATCATTGTAGTCATAAGTAATCTATTTAATGATATTTGACAGGAAACTCACTAATCCAATCAACAGGTTTTGGGAGGCATCTTGCAGACTAGAAAAAGTATTGAAGATTGGTCGTCATTTAAAAACAATAGAATATGGGCCAACCTATCAAAAGAAGATAAAATTATGTCAATCTTGAAGTTGAGTTTTGACAACTTAGGATCATCATCATTGAAGCAATGTTTTGCATATTGCTCAATGTTTGAGAAAGATTCAAAAATTCAAAGAGATATCTTGGTTCAACTTTGGATGGCTCAAGGACTACTCCACCATTCGCCTGGTGAAAGTAAAGATATGAAGATTAAAGGCAATGACTCGACTGGTGAAAGTAAAAATATGGAGGACATAGGCAATGAATATTTTGATATTCTATTGCAGAGCTCTTTATTTCAAGATGTTATAATGGATCGTTATGGCATTGTTCAGGAATGCAAGATGCACGATCTTGTGCATGATCTTGCAGAAATTGTATACAAATCCGAAAGCTTGACGAGTGACTCAAGTGTCATAGATAATACACTTGAGGTTCGACATGTTGCTCGGGTTTCTACTTCTAAACTAGAAACAATTCCAAAAAAAAGTGCTGGAAAATTGCGGTCACTGTTTTTGGACGACGATGAAGTTCCTACTAACATTCATCTACGGTTCAAAGCTTTACGCGTCTTCAAATTTAGTAATCCTAATATTAAAGAATTTCCAGATTCAATTGGTAGGTTGAAACATTTGAGGTATCTTGACATTTCCAAAACAAGATTCGAAGCACTCCCTAAGTCTATAGGCAAGCTCTATAACCTTCAGACGTTAAGAGCAACGAAATGTGCCCTTAAAGAGTTTCCAAAAGAACTGCTAAACTTGATCAACCTAAGGCATATTCATTTTGGTGTGAGTACGAAACTCCCACAAGGGATAAGGCAGTTGACTTGTCTTCAAACATTACCTTACTTTTTAGTGGGTAATGAGATTGGTCGTCAAATCGAAGAGTTGGCTGGCTTGAATCAATTGAGAGGTAAATTAATCATTCGTGATCTGGAGCACGTAGAGAACAGAGAAGAAGCAGAGAAAGCTAAATTAGAAGAAAAGACGAAAGTATGCCATTTGACATTCAAATGGAGTGGAGATAGGTCAATAATTGACAACAATGAGGACAACGATGTATTGGAAGGCTTACGACCGCATCCTAAGTTACAGAGCTTAAGTATTGTAAACTTCATGGGCGATAAGTTTCCATCGTGGATGGCTAACTTGAAATATGTTGGCGCTGAGTTCTGCAATTCTCTTGAGAGATTGGTTATTGAAAATTGTGGAAAGCTAAGGCATTTGCCGGATGGGTTACACGCATTCCCTCTCCTTAAGTACATGAATATATCAGAATGTTCTACTCTAGAGTTGATTCCAATTACACAGGGCCTTACGTACATGCATATATCAAAATGTCCTAGTCTAAAGTCGATTCCGATTACACAGGACATGGCATCTCTACAAACATTAAAGATTGAAGATTGTGAAAGACTGTCAGGCCTACCGAGTGGGTTAGACTACTGCACCTCTCTTCGCGAGTTGGTTATTTCAAAATGCCATGGATTATCTGCCCCATTGAGTATATGTGCCTCTCTCGTGGAATTGAGTGTACATGGGTGCGATAATCTGACATCAATTGAAATTAAAGGCGGCGTGTCCCTCACGACCTCTAATGTACTTGGATCTTGTTGTTCTCTTGTGAGATTAGTTATTCGTATGTGCAAAAAGCTGAGGCATTTGCCAGATGGGCTAGACACGCTCCCGCTCCTTGAGGAACTGACTATTAAGGGATGTGATAGTCTAGAGTTGATTCCAATTGCACAGGGCATGGCATCTCTACGGGAATTAGAGATTGAAGATTGTGGACGATTGTCACACCTGCCGAGTGGGTTAAAGAACTGCACTTCTCTCGTGGAAGTGAGTTTAAGGAATTGCAATGGATTATCAGGCCCATTGAGTATATGGGCCTCTCCCGTGGAATTGTATATATACAAATGCAATAATCTGACATCAATTGAAATGAAAGGCAGTGGATCCCTCACCGCCTTTCTTCAGATATTAACGATCAGGGATTGCCGAGAATTATCAAGCATACCTGCTCTTCCACAACAATGTCCCTCTCTTGGGTACTTGGAGATACGTGGATGCCCAAAGCTATCATGGTTTGGTGTGAAAAGTAGGAGAGTTGAGAAGGAGGAGAAGTGCATTAGTCTACAATCTACTTCAGATTTGCGCACCATGACCTCCCTTCGACAACTGTTTATTATAAATTGTGAAAGATTAGAAAGTTGGGTGAGCAGCCTGCAATTCCCACTCTCTCTTGAGACGCTGGCAATAGTCGATATCCCTAATTTACAGATTCTTCCAAGTTTAGACAACCTCAATTCTCTCCGTGATTTGGAAATCGGTGGGTTTTGGGAGGAGCTCGATTCCTTCCCTGATTTTCAAGTTGGATCATTAATGCATCTTACAAGGTTATACTTGAGTGGTTGGCCTAAGCTCAAGTCTCTGCCTCAACAAATTCAACACCTCACTTATCTAACATCTTTGTGGATAAAGTCATTTGAGGGAGTGGAGACTTTGCCAGAATGGTTGGGTAGCCTTACATCCCTTACGTGGCTGGAGATTTCGAATTGCAAGAATCTGAAGAATTTACCAAGTGTCCAAGCTATGCAACGCCTCACCAAATTACAAAAACTATGGATTTCTAGATGTCATCCCCTTTTAGAGGAAAGATGCAGGAGGGACAGCGGCACAGATTGGCCTAAGATTTCTCACATTCCAGATATCACAAGTAAGTTTTGAAATTATTGAAATCAAATATCCTAAGAGTTGTATATATTATATGTTAATCTCTTTTGTTCTTTTATTCCGTGTCTCCAGTAGTACTACACTCAAATTTAAACTAGTATAACATAATTTCTTTATCCTTCTCCCTCTTCTTTTAAATGATCAGTACGAGGTCTGAGACAATACTTGGATTGAAACTACGCAACTGGAACGATGTAGTGCAGTAGGTACAAGCAGAGTCCAGGTAATGATGTTTTTCCAGAAATGTGGTGTTTGTTGTTTTAGATTTTGTTTCATGATTTCATCCTTTTTGCCATTGCATGCTAATAACTTTTTATCCTGATCACAATGGCAGTGGAAGATTTATCGCATTTGTTGCTTCCATCTCTTGCAGTTTGCTTATTCCATTGGTTCCAAACATTTTACTATCGGTTGAAAACTTGAAATTTGTTGTTTATATTTGTTCTTAAGTTGTTTTGGTGTTATCTTTGTACATGCAGAATTGGGATTTCGATCAAAACGCATGCGTGGATCAATATCATCAAATCTTAATTTGGATACAAATTGGTAATCTTTTATCTTGTCGACTACAACTGGATCAATATTCTTTGTTTGATACTTGTCGCCAAATTGAAATTCATCCTTACGAGTTTTCACAGAAATTTGAATTCAGTTGATTTTTTGTGTTGTGTGAATCTTTAGAAGCTTGGGCTTCCCAGCATCCTTTGTGCCCTGCATTGGTTCGGAAGGAGAGTGCAAGAAGCAGCCAGCTGTTGAATAGAGGGAGAGCTTGAGATTGGAAGTGAAAAAACTTTTGTACTACCCTAATTTGTAACTCTCCTTCTCTCTTCACTTGCTCTCTAAAAGACTCTCTCATGCTCCTTTTAAAATGTAACCTGCATTATTATAGTAAAAACTTGAGGAACTGCGTAGCCCAGCTTGCATGTATGGAAGGTTTGTGCAATGTCCTATGGACTTAGTACTGTCTTTAATGAACAAAAGAAATTCTGTACACTTTATTGGGGATGAGAGTGTGTAAAAATAACGTCTTTCCTTTTTCTGCAGTTGTGTTGTGGTGGAGGACATCAGCATAGGCTTTGCAGCAGCCAAAGCTGGAATGAAGTGTATCGTAACCAAAAGTGGGTAACTTACTTTTACTATATGAACAAAAGATTTACTATATATGTTAAGTTTCCCGCACCTCCTCTTCCCTTCTCTTCTAATTGATCATTGCATTGTACTGTTGACTTACTATATATGTTGTGTTTTCTAGTGGCATCTATATTTCTTTTGGCATGCTGTGGTGTTTTTCAGGATGCTCAGTAAGTGCAAACTTGGTCCAGGTACTAATGCACAATATATTAAATTTCTCGCTCTACCTTCATTTTTTTCTATAGTATACCTTAAGTTATACTCCTTAATCCTTACCAAGCTAGCCATCCTCTCTTTTTGGTACCATGTGGCCATTCTCCTTCACATGTATCTTTCTTAGTTCTGGCAACATCAATCCGATATGTTAAGTTTCTTTAGTTCATCTGTAGGATTGCTGAACCACTAGCTTAATAACCCTTTCATGGTATTCAAATCTTGTTAGAAACCTGGAACAGTAATGCCAAGATTTGTGATCATGTAAAACCATTTTCATATAGTATAATATAGATTTACTAGAGGTCGCACTTGGTGCGATGGCAAGTGCCTTCGCCCATGAGCGGTAGGTCTCGGGTTCGAGACTTGGGAGCAGCCTCTCCATAAATGGGGGTAAGGCTAGCCGACATTCACCTCTCCCAGACCCTGCGTAAAGCGGGAGCCTTGTGCACTGGGTACGACCTTTTTTATAATATAGATTTACTGCAATTGCTTTCCGTCTGTTATTATTCTTACAAAGATTTTGGGCTGATATTTTTATGTTTACTTGTGATTTTTTAACATATTTTTTAATTGTATGAACAGTGATTTGAATTCAGTTGACAATTTAATCGTTATTTCATATCCCTTGGGTAACTTGATGAACTGTCAAATACCTGCATTATTGCAGAAATTGGGTAAAGAACATCAGTTGCAATGCTCAGTTAGGGATTTTATAATTTGGCGAATTTAAGAAATCACGGAAAGGTCTACAAACCCGAAATGGATAAACTTCACCTTAGGTGGTTTCGGGGAAGAGCTCAATTCCATTCCTGATGTTCAAGGTTGATCATGGTAGCTTGAATCGTTACATTTTAAAGGGTGGCCAAAGCTCAAGTCTCTGTCTCACCAAATTAAACACTTCACTTCGTTAACTGCTTTATGTATCAACCACTTGAGGGAGTGGAGGCTTAACCAGACTTGTTGGGTGACCTTACATCCCTTATAGAGCTGGGATTACGAATTATAAGAATTTGATGAATCAACCCTCTGCCGAAGTTATGCAATGCGTCCGCAGTTTACTGTCGCAGTGAGTTAAGCAATGTAAGTTTTTCAAACTCCATCTCCTTTGCTCTTCTAGTAATTAAGTCGACTTACTATATATGTTGTGTTTCCAATAGGCATATATAACTCTTTTAGCATCCCTTGGCATTTTTCATGACACTCTTACTCAACTGGAACAATGTAGTGCTGTAGGTGCAAACAGAGTCCAGGTACTGATGCACAAGATATGTTTTTCCCGAAAAGTAGTGTTTGTTGGTTTAGATATTGTTTCGTCCTTGTTTCATCGATTGCTTGCTAAATTCTCATACTACCTTGTTCAGTAATCTACTTGCCTTACAATCCTTTTCAAGCTAGCATGTAATTTCTGAATTGCCTTACATTATTGAGAAATACATTGAAATCTAAGAGGATTTGGTTGTTCAACCATCAGTCGATCCATTTTAGTTACACAGGCCCAGACTAGTTCTCATTCTGAGTCGCATTGTTTTGCTCCAAAACTTTTTAAGTGGAATTTTTCTTCTGGGCAGATTGTTATCTTAAAATTATCAGCTCTTCAATTTTAATCCTGATCACAGCAGTAGTGGTAGATTTATCATATTTGTTGCATCAATCTCTTGCAGTTCGCTTATTCCGTTGGTTCCTGCACAATGAGCAAATCAAGACTTGTATTCACGATAACAATGTTGATATAATATATGGAACTGTTGTAATTGCTTTCTTATGAAGTTTGGACTAATAGTTTTGGGGCTACTTGTAAAATCTGAATTGTATGCACAGTGATTTGAATACTATTGATTTTGTGTCTGCAGTTGATATCGCCCAGTAACTTGATGCACTGTTGAGTACCCATCTTATTGCTGAAATTATCGAGAGTGATATTACTGTTGATTTTTGTGTCTTTCCTAGCAGAACATTCAAGATTTTGGGACTTTCGGGATTCAGTGAGAAAGTTAGTTGAAATGCAATTATCGAGAGTGATATTGTTGTTGGTGTGTTCGAATGAGATTAAAATTACGGACTAATGACTTTTTATCCTGATGAAAATTGTAGCACTTTCCTTATTCATCTGATTCTTGCATAATGAGGAAAGTGGGCAAAATAACTGGAATTGCTTTGTCTTTGAATCTTCCATAAAATAAATAGTTATTATTCTTATAAAGATTTTGGACTGAGATTTTTATGATTACAAATAATTGTTAACAGATATTTAAATTGTATGCAGAGAGATTTGAATTCAGTTGACTTTTGTCTCTGTGATTGAAACCTCGAGTAACTTGACGAACAGAGTGTACCCACACTATTGATCAGGTAAATGAATCTTCAATTCCAAACACTGTACTATCAGTTGAAAACTTGAAATTTGTTGTGTATATTTGTTCTTAAGTTGTTTTGGTGTTATCTTTGTACATGCAGTATGCAGAATTGGGATTTCAACCAAAACTCATGCGTGGATCGTGTAGGAAGTGTAGAGGGATGGAAATACTTAACAAGTTTATGGGAAATCTGAGTTGCTACAGCAGAGCTCTTGTATTACTTCTTATTGTATTTCTCTTGATACAAAATTATATGTCAAAGGCTATATATATAGTGAATACAAAGTACTAGAGAGTTCTAACTAGAGAGTTCTTCCTAGATAACTTAACAGACATAGGCTAGGAACAATGAATCTAGAATAATTGTTCTTGGGAATGTCTAGAGTCTTAACATTTAGGGTAGTGCATGAATTGTTCTTGGGAATGTCTAGAGTCTTAACATTTAGGGTAGTGCATGAATTGTTCTTGGGAATGTCTAGAGTCTTAACATTTAGGGTAGTGCATTAATTCCAACAGATCAATATCATTCTTCAACTTCAATCGTGTTTCCTTATCATCAAATCTTAATTTGGATACAAATTGGTAATCTTTTATCTTGTCGATTACAACTGGATCAATATCCTTTGTTTGATACTCGTCATCATATTAAAATGCATCCTTATGAGTTTGCACAAGATTTGAATTCAGTTTATTTTTTGTGTTGTGTGGATCTTTAGAAGCTCGGGCTTCCTGGCGTCCTTTGTGCCCTGCATTACTGTGAAAGGAGAGTGCAAGAAGCAGCCAGCTGTTGAATAGAGGGACAGCTTGAGATTTGAAACAACTATTTTACTACCCTAGTTGTAACTTCTCTCTCTCTCTTCACTTGCTCTCTTAAAGACTCTCTCATGCTCCTTTTAAAATATAACCTACATTATAAGGTGTGCTATTCTCCTTCTCTTTTACATTGAACAATCTAAGCACATCCGTATATTTTTTCATTTTTCAGGTTTTCTCCGTTTCATATTCACCGTGAACTTATTAGTCATTATGCCTTGATGATAACGATGTCGTAAGAGTCATTTGTGTTGCAAAACAAGGTTTGCTCTGTTGCTTCTAACATAGTAAATTATTTTACATGGAATGCCCTGATTATAACGATGTTGTTGTAGGTCCATAGTGGGTACTTTGGGTCTCTTCCTGATGGTGTTTACTCATCATTGTCTCAACACCATAGTATTTTACAGAGTTCTTCGAGCTGTGAAGGTAACACTGTCTTCTTTGAGCCACTTTCTTATGCCCTTATGAAGGATTAACATTTTTATAGCTGAGAATTAATCGTACTTATAATAAAATGTGCGCTGCAGATATGAAGTAGTCTCCCTATTTTAAGCAGAAAATTCAAGCTGAAAACAAGTTACTTACTCCTACAAACATATGTGCATTCTCTACCCCAAGGTTTATGGAATGAAGTGTATGGGAGCCAAAAGCGGCATGGGCATGGGCCTTGCAGCAACTGAATTTATTGGAATGAAGTGTATCGTAACCCAAAGCGGGTAACTTACTTTTACTATATGAACAAAATAAGAGTGCTTCCATATTTCCCACCTTCTTGGTATCGCAGATTATACTTCAAATTTGATAGAAAGGTTATTAGCATGAGTTGAGTATAATCCTTGCTAGTCATATATGTCAAATTTTTATGCAATTAAATGATAAACATGTTCCCTTCATCTCTTAAAACTTCAATTTCAGATACACAGCTGAAGAAGAATTTCAAAAAGCAGATGCAGTCTTTGACTTCTTTGGAAATTCCTCGGAGGAGCGATTTGACTTGGGATTCCGCAGAAGCCTTTGTCAAACAGTAACAGTTTGTGACATAAATTTCATTCAATGCCGATCCTCCATTTACAATACCTTGGATGCTGATTAGGGTTTCAGCTAAGATAATAGACCAGTATGCATTCGGTAGAATATTGATATACCGGTTGAAGTACAAGTTAGCTCTTCTCAAGCAGACTAAGTTTCCATCGGTGAATTGGTGAATCTCTGGATGGTGAATTATTACAAGGGCTTTCTTCTGCGTTGATCGTTTCTCACTTGAGATTCAAAGTTGGTTTGAGCTGAGGTCATTGTTTCTCGCTTTCATTTTCTGTTTTTAATGGCTTTTCGACGTTATGTTGGGTCATCCTTTCTCGCTCTCTCATTTTCATTTTTCATTAATATGTTCGCAACAATATTTCTCCATGATATCAATGCTGGAATCGACATTATGTTGGTGTTTGATTAAAAAAAAGATTGTTCATCTTCTTATGACATCTAATACTCGTAAATTGCAGTTTTGATGGGGCATGGAAGGAACAGGAAGATGTAGAGGGGGAATTGGAGTGGTGCTAAGAAACGACACGGGTCAGTTTGTGGCGGCGCTGGCGATGAAACTGGACGGCATCTCTTCACCGTTGTTGGCAGAAATAGAGGCAGCATGTGTCGCAATCTTGCTGGTGCAAGAGTTAAACAAGGAACTGGTGGAACTTGAAGAAGATGCAGCGTTGGTCCTTGCTGCGCTAAATCTAAGATGACATGTCGTTGATGGATGGTATAGTAAATGAGGAGCGCTACTTCCTGCGCTCCACTCCACAAACCAAACTCAAGCATGCTCGCAGGGAGACAAACAAGGTTGCTCACAGATTGGCGCAATTGGGGCTCACTCTAGAACAGCAACGAGTTTGGTTCGAGGAATCTCCTGATGTAATCGCTGACCTTTTGATAGAGGATAGTTAAGTTTTATATTTTCGTGGTGTGGGACACTCTTTTTCCCTTCGACTGGGTTGAAATCCCTAGCAAGGTTTTTATCGAGGCCCAGTAAAATGCACCCTATCCTACTATGTGTACGTATTCTTTCTCATATCAATGAATATCGTACCTCTTCTAAAAAAAATACTTGTAAATTGTCCATGCATGGTCTAGCAGCAGATAGAAAAGTGTGGCCCTTAAACTGTTAAGAGGCCACAAAAGAAAGGAATTTTTCCAAAAACGTATAGCTTCCTTCTACGCTTGGCCTTGCAAAAAAATTCCTCCGAAAAGTCAATTTATCACAAAAAAAATGTTGTAAGTGCACATCATAGCTGAAATTGAGAAAAGTAAAGTAAAAAGGCTATTTTGAAATTAATTCTTTAACAAAACCTAGAAATAATTAGCATGAAAATATAGGAAATAATTCACCTACCAACGTTTATAATAAAAGTAGACAAAGATGAATATGAGGATGAATAAGTTTCTTTACTTAAGGGTGCGTTTGGTACGTGGGATGGGACGGGACGGAACGGGACGAGGCGTTCCGTCCCGCGTTTGGTGCGCCAAAAATGGGTGGAACGGGCTGTTCCACTGGACAGATTTTGAGTGTTTTTGCGTTCCACCTCCCCCCTGGAACGGGTTTGTTCCACGTTTGTGGAACGCAATGTTTTACCATTTTAAGACAAATATACCCCATGTCTTTTTCAAAAATTACACCTTCGTTCCGTCCTGTCCCGTCCCGTTCCATCCCGTCCCGTCCCGTTCCGTTCCGTTCCGTCTGCGTACCAAACGCACCCTAAAGGACACTTTGGATGCGGTCCCTAGCTATCAATATTCTTTGATTGAAACCTTGTTAGTTTTTAGTTTTTTATTGAGGTCCCTGACATTAATGTAATAATGTAAGTTACTATATTTTTTAAATTAAAAATTAAAAATTGAAATTTGTAATTGTTTATATTAATGAGATTTTAAATAAAACCCATATTTTATGGGATTAAAAATAATAAAATATAAATTATACTCTCTATTATATTGTGTGTGTGTGTACATATATGTATGGGTACATTAACCAAAATTAACAAAAAAAGTTATTGTACCAAAACATGGATACATTCTCAAATCAACGAAAAAAAATGTACCCATATAAGTTTAAACATGGATTAAAAATTTTGAAAGGATTTTATATTAAAAAAAGGGTACATTTTACATATAACAAATTGATATATTTGAGAATGGGTACATTTAAGATAAAAAAATTGAAAAATTATATGAATGGGTACATTTAAGATTAAAAAATTGAGAATCTTTTTATATAAAAAAAAACTAATAGGTACAAACTTAATTTAATTTAATTTTTTATTATTTTGGAAATGTTTGAATTGAAAATTAATTAGAAGTTTAATAGAGGTGTGAGTATTAAACCCTAAATTAATTACTAATTTTTATATTAAAAATTATATAATAAACATGTAAATTCATTATCACATTAATGCTAGGGACTTGAATCAAAATTTGAGAACTAATAAGGTCTTAGTCAATAAACAGTAAGAACTAGGGACCGGATACTAATTTTTTCTTACTTAAAACAATAATTCCTCAATTTTCTTCCTTCAAGTTGGATGCATTTATTTTGTTTCTTTCTTCAACATAACTTTAAATATAGTGAGTTATCTATTTCAATCCGTTATAGAGGGAGACCAAATAAGATAAATAAATGCGGTATAATACAAGATGATTGGATAACACTGTAGCGATGTGAAAATATCCGACGTTAGAGGATTGAAGCTAAAATGAGAGTTGAATTTTGTTGTGCAAGAAAAAGATAAAAGCCATAAAAAAAAAGGGATTGTAATGCCAATGCCACACTCTCTATCAGACTATAATCACTTGGCTCTTGTAGCTTTGGAACATAAGCTAACTAAGTTAGCTTCCTGATCGGTCGTTGGTTTGGCTCCTGACAATAGCAGCCTTGCATTTCAAAACAAACTATAAATCTTTGGTTTAATTCTTAGCCATTCAATATTTATGTTGGTCCCAATTAATTGACCCTTCATATTACTTATGCCCATGCTGCTTTAGCCATTCAATATTGCTGCTAAACAGTCGTATTATATTAGGTTAATTACTTGTTGATTTAGTAATCAATTTAGTAAACCCTGACGAATTTCAAATTGATGAAACTTAATGTTATTGAATTTGTAAAAAGATTTCTTTACCAAATTATAATAGTACATAAATGCAAAATTTAAAAATATGCTTTATGAAGACATGATTGTTGTGGTCTATTTTATCTGACAGAGGGACTAGGGCCGGCGGCAGAGAGAGAGAGGAGAGAGATGTGTGTTTGTAGAATTGTAGGGGAATGTGTGTGTTGTTATCCCTCCTACATTGTGCCTTTATTTATAGTAGTAAAGGGAGAGAAGATATTCCTTCTCCTCCAAATAATACAAGTTGCAATAGGAAAGGATAACTAGAATCAAATCTTATCTAGGATTTACACAATCATACTTAAACTAGGAATGTTTACAACACTCCCCCTTGAGTGGGTAAATACTCAAGGTAGATTCAGCATCATGCAGAAGTTGAGGAAGTCGACTCGTCGGCATTGATTCCAAGGAACAACGCTTATTCTCAATAAGGTAGGAACTTGCATAAGTAGTAAGTCTCACTAAAAAAACCCTAAGGCTATGGCAAAAACCCAAGTAGGGACAAAATCCATAGTCTAAGGAAAAATGCGTGAGAAATGCAAAGTCAAAAGAAATGTCTACAGGACGTCATCAGGGATATGACCAGCCCAAGGTGGGTGCCTCGTTAAAACCTAGTTAGGTAGCAAAAACCCAGTGGGAAAAATGCTCCTAATCGTAGGGAAAAAGAGTACATTAAGATCAAGCAAGTATCTAGAAGATACTCCCCCTGAGTTTGACATAATTCCACAGAGAAATAGCAAAGTTACAACTCAGAAAGTTTACGCATACCAATTCCATGAACAAGCTTCTGAAACGTCGCCTTCGGTAGTGATTTGGTGAAGAGGTCGGCCAGATTGTCTTGTGATCGGATTTGCGTGACTTCAATCTTCTGATGCTCTTGTTGTTGATGTGTAAAGAAGAACTTCGGCGCAATATGCTTGGTGTTGTCTCCTTTGATGTAACCCTTCTTGAGCTGTTCGATGCAAGCTGCGTTGTCTTCAAAAATCGTCGTCGGGGCATTAACGGCGGGATGAAGATCACAGGAGCTTCGAATATGGCCCACTACTGCTCTCAACCAAAAGCATTCCCGAGTTGCTTCATGTAAGGCGAGAATTTCAGCATGGTTAGACGAAGTGGCAACTAAGGTCTGTTTAGTTGACCTCCAAGATATTGCGGTGCCTCCAACGGTAAAGACATAACCCGTTTGAGAACGCGCCTTGTGCGGATCAGATAAGTATCCAGCGTCGGCATAACCAACAAGGCGAGAATCAACCTGATGAGCATAGGGTGCGGCATCACTCGAAGATTCGTAGGGATAGAATAAGCCCAAATCCGTAGTACCCTTAAGGTAACGGAAGATGTCTTTCACGCCAGTCCAATGTCTGCGTGTTGGTGCATTGCTGTATCTTGCCAAAAGATTAACAGCGAAGGAGATGTCGGGTCTAGTGCATTGAGCTAAGTACAATAAAGCGCCTATCGCACTTAGATAAGGAACTTCAGGCTCTAAAATCTCTTCATCATCCTCCTTCGGACGGAAGGGATCTCGCTTTGCATCTAGCGTACGAACGACCATAGGAGTACTCGAAGACTTCGCTTTATCCTCATTAAAACGGCGCAACACCTTCTGGGTGTAGTTCGATTGATGTACTAAGATTCCATCCGAACAATGCTCTATCTCGAGACCGAGACAGTATCGAGTCTTACCTAGATCTTTCATCTCAAATTCCGACTTCAGGTGCGAAGCAGTTCTCGCGAGCTCTTCAGGAGTTCCGATGAGATTCATGTCATCGACATATACTGCAACAATCGCAAATCCGGAATGTGACTTCTTAATGAACACACAAGGGCATAGTTCGTTATTCACATATCCCTGACTAGTCAAATACTCACTTAAACGGTTATACCACATTCTTCCGGATTGTTTCAAACCGTATAGTGAACGCCTCAGCCGAATTGAGAGCGTGTTCTGGGGTTTGGAAATATTTGAACCAGTCAATGTAAGTCCTTCGGGAACTTTCATATAAATTTCCGTATCAAGATCCCCATAGAGATACGCGGTTACTACGTCCATCAGCTGCATATCCAGTTTTTCGGAAACTACCAAACTGATAAGGTATCGAAAAGTAATCACATCCATAACGGGTGAGTAAGTTTCGTCATAGTCAATCCCGGGGAGTTGTGAGAAACCTTGTGCTAAAAGACGAGCTTTGTAACGCACAATTTCGTTCTTCTCATTACGCTTCCGAACGAAAACCCACTTGTAGCCAACGGGCTTCACATGTGGAGGAGTAGGAACTACAGGTCCAAACACCTTACGTTTCGCAAGTGAATCAAGTTCGACTTGGATTGCTTGTTTCCAGTTTGACCAATCAGCTCTACGTCGACATTCATCAACGGAACGCGGTTCAATGTCATCGCTCAACATGATCTCAGTAGCTACTGCAAATGCTAATGCATCGTCGACAATCATCTCATTTCTACGCCGCACATCATCTAAGCTAGCATAATAGACCGAAATCTCACGATTCTCGGGAGGAGGATTCGTCTCTTCAAGGACGCTTCCATAATCTAGAATTTCCTCATGAGTTGGGTAAAATGAGTAAGCGATAGTCGGATTCACGGTAGGCTCTTCAGGACCTTGTGTCGTGGTTTTCCTCTTCCGGGGGTGTGAATCCTTTGAACCAAGGGGTCTGCCACGCTTTTGTGTAGGGGCAGATGATTGGCTAGCCGCTAATGTACGTGGATCACCAGAATTGGCGTCCCGGGCTTCCAGGAGGGTAGTCCGTCGTACATTTGGTACATCCATCTTTGCAGGCGTATTCGCAGCTGGAATATGTGATCTTGTCACGCGCGCTAGATCGGTGAAAGCATCTGGCATGCTCTGAGAGCTATGCTCTGGAGATCTAATATGCGCTGCACTTCAGCTTCAGACTGAGCGGTGCGGGGATCTAAATGAGACAA